ATTTCGGAGAGACTTCAACCGTCTGCACCAGTTGTCTCTGGAAAACAACCTCCCGTATAACTTCGAAATGTCGCGTCCTCTCCACCAGCCCTTCCTCGTCTGCAATATACTTCCTGAGAGAATCTGTTCTCCAGGTCTCCTCAACTGAAAGAGGCTTGGGTATCATCACCCAAACCAGCTTTTCATAATCTGCTTCCTGCCGAAAAGCAGCCTCTGCTGCTAACCGCATGCTGCGACTGTTAAAACGTGCCCTCGGCGAAATCGACTAGTGGAATTTCCGCCTCCTCTTAAACGCCTTCCTACGTCCTCACTTGGAGTTTGCTGTCCAGGATTGGGGCCCCTGGTTGCTCAAGACCAGCCTATGCTTGAAGCCCCACAACGTCGTGCGACAAAATTAGTACGGAGTCTCAGACACTTGGATTATCCACAACGGCTCCGCCGCCTTTGTGTCTTGTCCAAAAAATACCGCCAGCTTCGGGGAGACTTGATCCTCGTATCTACAATCCTATCCACCCCTGGACACTCCTGCCGCCATTTACTGAAACTGCACCACTCATGCTCCCATCTTCGTGGTCACCCACTCCGGCTCACACATCAGCACAGCTGGGTGAACTGCAGACTACGTCTCTTCGCTCTGCGAATCTGTCGACCGTGAAACGCCCTGCATGCCGACGTAATCTCGGCATCTTTTGTAGATGATTTCAAGACTCACCTGGACAGTCATCTTGCCTAACTGCATCGCGCTCTCCCCTGAGACAACTACCTGCAGTTTGGAATACCATACCCCAGACTAGCCCCAGTCATCTCCCTTCCACTTCTTACCAGGCGTAACAGCTTGTTCCTCTACTCCCAACGCTCCCGATTTACATGTTGATGGAGACGTATTTTCATTTACGCTACTCTTCTTTCCCTAGCTGAATCAGAAAGCCTGGTGTCACGCTTTGAGCCGTCATAATTTCTGTTCAAATGCTGCATAGTCCCGATGATACGACTAATACACCAATCCAGCCCGCTGTAAGGTTGCTTGGCCTTTCCGTATGACACCACCCCATTTCTTTACTCCTCATGGGTCGTGTAAAGTTCCAGCTTTTTTCCCATGAAATACAATGTTCCATGACTCAGTGGCAAAGTCACTGGCTCTGCTGCATTTTTTGTATCTTGCTGCCGATTTGCATACATCCTGTTCTTCCTTCTTCTTTTACGTTTCATTTCCCCACCATTGTTATGTCATGGTGGCTTGAGTCCTGACAACTAGCCCAACTGTATCTCTATTTCTCGGATCTAGTGGACGTATATTGTCGTTTACTCAAACTTTGGACTACAAATCGGCGCTACCACCCACTGACTCATTCGCGACACGTTCGTTTTTGTCCCGCTCCCGCATTTTGTCGGCCGACTGAACAAAACCAGACTATGTGGATCGATGTGTCTGGATGACTGGGTGCGCTGAACTTGTGCGATTCGGCTAATCCGGCCAAAACTGCGTCCTAGTGAGTGGGCACAACACGTCATACCGGTTGGGAGTATCCCAGCAGAATTTTGGTATTCTCTGTAGATCCGCTTATTGGACAAGCGCTCGTCATGATGGAAATGTTCATGGTCATCAATAATACTTTGACACAAAAGATCACCTAGTATGTTGAATCAATTTGTGGTTTCGTTCCGCCATTATTCCAGAAAGTAGTCCCAGCGAATCAGGACAATGCCGAGTGTGTACACGGGAAGAGAAGATAAAGTGACAATAAAAAATTTTTAAAGGTTCATCGCAGCGAGATTCCCTGAGATATCCACCGCACACCGAGTGGGCTTGGAACTGCCGCTTCATCTTACTGGGTTCGTTAGCCGCGTCCACCACAATAAAACTCGGATGTTTGAGTGCATTCAGTTTGTGGCCATTCGTCTATGCCACTGGGCCATGTGTCATGCATTGCGAACCGTCAGGACCGATTAAAACTACCGTACAACTGACACTGTACTCACCGGGCGTAGGGATTAATGTAACTGCTCCGTTGTGTCCCTGTCTGGGCAATTTCAGGTAGCCTTCTTTACCACTGACACGGTTTTTTATGGCCTTCATGCATGAAGGTGCTTCGAAGCGGCATCACTTAAGCCTTTAGTTGCCTCCGTCACTGAGCCTTGCTATGTTACACCCCAGTTTCAGTCAGAATTCGCAGAAAGCAAGACACTCGAGTTGAATGATCGATGGCCGTGAGAGTGCTCTCAACTGGCGTGTAAGTAATGCATATTTGCCTGGTCTAGCTCATTGCTCGGCCTTCGAGGACCTTGCATGTGACACTTAATGCGAACTGTTCTCAGTGATCAAAGGCACGCTTTTTAATTCATACGCTAGCAGCTAGCTGTTCTTACCTTTCCACAATGATTACGGTTGAGGCTAATTTTTTCTGTCAATGCGGTAATCAGATACGTAGCATATGGGATGGCTCGGGGGGGAGTCGGTCCGTCTCGAGCGGCATGTGATAGGAGACGGCATTTTTAGTACAGATGATTATTCAATACCACGCGTAGATTAAGCAAAATTGCTTACATGGCTGGATTTGTAAAACGAAATGTGATCATCCAATTGAGACTGAAGACGAAATTGGTACCGCAAACATTGATATCCGGGAGACCGAAAGTGACATTAACATCATGGATGCAGCGGGAAATGTTTGTAATGTTGATGCAAAAGATGCGCGCGAAGTTGAAGCATTGGAAATGCAACCACACTTTGGCACTATTTTATGGATATTTGTCATTCGCCTGTTAAGATTGACCATGAAATTCGCACTATGCTGCTTGTCCAGCTCGGATCCACTGTCGTGCAGCGCCTCAATCATGAATTTAATAAGTGCTGCTACCTGAAATTAATACAAATGCTTAGGCTAGGAATCTGACAACGAATTGGTTTTCTCGGAATTTGCAAAATGATGAGCGAAGATTACGAAGACAGATGATGTCGTCTCCTTCGAAAGAGGCCCTGTTTTGGTTTTCGTTTCTACTCCGAACTGAGCAGTTGTGTTACAGAGGTTTCACATGAATCAAGATCAGAAATCAGTTTAGGGTTAACAATTCTTTTCGGTAAACTCTCGTCAGACCCAAACGTTTACCTAACGCTGATTGTGTAGGGTAAGCGGCAAATCGGACTGGGATTCATCTCTAAAGTGTTTGAACGGTCAAAATAGATGACTAAAGGCGGCTACATATGGCAAGAAAGTGCACCAAAAGAAAATTAATGTACAAGCTTCAGCAGTGTAAAGTAAATAGGTAAGCTCACATAGGGGAACTAAGTAACCATGTCAGTCGGCCACGCTAGTGCTATCTGGTGAACTCAGCTCTGAATTGGAGATAAGCATAGAGTGTCGAATTTGTCACGAAAACGAATGGGTGGGGAAGACGGGGTTTCGTGCCGTGTTGAAAAGGGAAATTCTATCTATCATTGACAAGTTGACTGTTATGATTGAGCACTGTTATAATTGGGGGACGCCTGATAAGATTGCCGCTGGCACGGTTGGAGCACGCCTTCGATGACGACTTGTAACGCTGGCCAATCGAACGGAGTTTCGCTGACCTGATGACGCTAGCTTAGTCGGTGAGACGGACAATTGAGCGAGCGTGTGAACGATCCTAGCCGCACGTGTTCGGATAGACGCTGAGCCTCAGAACGGACGCACACGAGAGGGGGTTACGATAGACGCGCGCTAATGACTTAGACGCGAAGGCTGGCTAGCTAACGACTCACACGCAATCACGTGACCCGACCGACTCCCAACTGAGGCGAAGAGAAAGAAAAGGCAAGTGGTCCTCTGTAGGCTCTTTTACGACCAACAGAGGGCAATCACAGCCAGTGCTATGGGTTATTAAGTTAGGGAAAACAGTCACCACGAAGAGATGGTAGTTTGCAAATGAGCATTGTCGAAAGGTGCGCAGTTGGGTCGCGTCTCGGAGTGGCTGAGTTCTGCTGCGTTGTAAGGAGGAATTGGACCCCGCTTCCCACAGCCATTCTGCCGGGGTTTCTGGCGCGTTTTTGCGGGGATTTTTGACGGGCCCGCAAGAAATTTGTCGTTGGTTTGAACAAGTTCATGATCTTTATGATACCTATGGCTGTTCCTTTATCGAAGTTAAGGAATATATAGAAATAAAAACTAATTCTTTACCGAAAGAAGGATGTTACAATATTTTTTGAAAGCTTCAAGAAACATCAAAATTAATGGACCTCCTGAACTTTTGAGTTTCACACGGAGATATCACCCTGGGGAATCCGCTGCACATCTTTCGTACTCTAATTATTAGCACTGCAAGCTGTGAGAGCTCATTCTCAAAACACACGCTTATAACGAACTTCCTTCAATTATCAGTGAACCAGACAAGGCTCACGAATTAGCATTTCTTCCCTTGGAGTGGAAACATACGAATGTACTGAATTTTTATAGAATTATCAATACTTTTGGAAAAAGTAGTGCAAGAAAGGTGTCGTTACATTTTACTCACGTGTATTGTATCAATACAAAGGCTTGCGTTTACAGCGACACTTTAAAGTTAGATCTTTGACTGTTTGTTTTATGAAACGTAATATTCTAGGGCTGCTCGCAATTGTGAGAGTTTACGCATTTACAAATGGCAGGGAGTGGCAATTGGATGTCCTCGTGCGGCAAAAGTCGGTGCCACGCCACTGGCGGTAATACACTTTTGTTTGATGATTTTTTACCAACTATCATGACACCATACTTTTGGATTTATCCGCATTGGATTGTTTGTGAGCTTTCATCTTTTGACTGAAATTCGCCTTTACACATTCGTGGCTCTGTGTCGTACAAGGGCGGGACTGATTGCTCTTACCGACTGATGTCTTTAACTACTCGAATAGCCGATAATTATCATTGTTCAGTTCAGTAAGGCTAACAGGTTTCAACCCGCAAATTTTGTCCTTATGCTGGTCGTATTTCACTCTTGTCCTTCATTCTTGATGTGTTGCTTTTCTTCATCCCTATCGTTATTTTCAGGGAGCACGCGGATACCGTGTCCTTGGTTGGCCATCCGTATTACATCGCTCCGGAATGCCTCAATCGGGTATCACCGTACACGTTTGCCGCGGATGTCTTCTCTTTTGGGTTGCTTTTGTGCGAATTGATTACACGTCTCCTCAACGATGGAACTAGGATACCACGAACACAGGTGAGTGCGGGGCAATTTTCATGTGTATATATCCTCTCGGTTGCCCATGCGGGAGTGTTTTCCATTCTAGAACAGACGGTAGCGATAGAGTTACGCGGTCGCTTTGTAGGTTACCGGTTCGAATCCGCGTAAGCGTGAGCGACCACTCGGCACATCCAGCCCTCGCGCGTTTGATGCTGGTCGTGTGGCACGAAGCTTCGGTATTGTGTACCGGCTTATTGCTACTACCATCTTTTACGTTAGAATGTTTCAGCTGCAAATGTTTCCTCGCTGAACTGCGCAACATCATCATCATGAGGTGGTACCGCAATACGCTAGGAAGATGCAACAAAGCCAGGCCAGCTGAGCCACCAGTAACGAATGGGCATCGTTCCGGCTTGCTACCGGCCGGCTATTGTGCAGCAAAAAGGATTATATTGCGCCTAGCAAATGAGATCGTGGTTGAAAGGACAAAGAAATTCGCAACACGAACGCCACTGAGGTCGGCTCTTTGACATGTCACCAAGTGTATCCACTCAAACGTGTTCATTGTCTTTCGGACCCCAAGCAGAGAGCCGAAAAGCTCCAACCGAGGCCAACGCCATCATCGCACCTTTCAACTCTGGGTCTGAGTCACACTTGCTCTGGTGGCGAAATCTACTCATAGGCCACGCAGCTCAGAGAACGTTGTAGCACCAGTAGTTGTCCAGTTTTCATCCTATTTCTTATGCTTTTCATTCTTTTATTCTCAACCATTAATACCTTCATTCACTACGACGTTAGCCCTTAGATACAGTGCCGCTTAATTCAGATAATAATAATACTAAACAATAAAACGTATATTTCTCCTGATGCGAGAAACTGTGTCTGTGGTGGCACAGATCAATTGGTACAGAAGTAGCGATGCTCTTGCACGCGTGACATGCATAGGTGGAATATTGGGATATGCATTTCATGCAGTTACCTTCTGGTGGATGATTGAGACGAAAGTCTAATTTTTAAGACATGGATGTTTTGAAGTCTGTGGGCCCATCTTGGAATAGGTCATCGAGGGATTTTTCCTATGTGAATATAGTGAATATGGTATCTAGATCAAGGTAACTGAAGAGTCTGCTTCTACATGTTGCCACATCGTCTCATGACCTGTGTGCTAGTGGTAGTTTCTTCCACAGATTAGAGCGAATTAGAGCGAATGTTCCCTCTGGCATTGGGGTATTCAATGTAAAATCTTGATTGCGAAACGCTCGAGTTGAGCTATGTTGTAGCTCGAGTGCAAGCATGTCGGAATATGTCTTTCCGTGTAGCAGCTTGAAAAGCAGCAACAAGTTGTGCTTCACTTGTCGAATCCAACGTTGTTCGAGTTGAAGTTCAATGCAACTTTCTCGATAACTCATAGCAGAGTGCTTACGAATCAGATGTCTAGTAAACCATATCTGCAAGTCTTCCACAGCAATTCAGTCACTCTTTCTCATATCGCCATGTATTATGCTGTAGTATTCAAAGATGGGGTGAGTGAGTAGCTTGAAAAGCTCGAGGATGGGTTGTGTGGATTTTGTTTGATATAATGAACATAAATTGTCTGGCATGTGCTACTTGGTATTGGGCCCGTTCGGAGAAACTGAAGATAGACGAGTACCTGATTTCAAGATCTCGCGTGGACAGCTGTGTTTAAAGTGACAGATCCTTCGAGGATGGAACAGCCGTAAGACATGATGCTTGATTCCTTAGCCGAGTGGTTCATCAACCAAGTGTGCACCTTGATTAAAGGAATGTAAGTCATCTTGGATAAGCAGTAGCGTTACGTGAAGCTCGTCACGCCGAAGGTTAGAGACGGCCTTGATATCGTCAGCAAATAAAAATGGCCTGCCAGATTTCACAGATATGGTGTCATTGATGTAGAGCAGGAAGAGTGAAGGACCGAGCACGTTCCCTTGAATGACCCCACTGGTGATGGAGCGTTGAGAAGAGCGATAGCCACCTAAAGTGACTATCTGATGACGACCACTCAGGTGTGATGATAGCCAACTTAGTATGGGGTCCCGGATGCCAAAGTTTTCCAACTTTTGTAACAGTCGCTTGTGCGGTACTCGATCGAACGCTTGGTGTATGTCAAGAAACAAGATTACTAATGCATAGCCGGAATCGATTGATTCTGAAATGTGATTAAGGTAATGCAGTTGACAGGTCGTGCACGATCGCTTATTGAGAAAACCACGCTGCGAATTGTTGATCAGGCCAATAGAATCCACAAAGTTCCTCATCTCCTTTCTGATCAGTTTTCAAATAACCGAGCGATTATCGGAGTGTGGTGGATTGGTCGGTAGTTATCGATCGTTTGCTTAGGACCTCCTTTATGCCGAGGCATAATAAATGACGTTTTCCATTTATACGGAAAGCGACTAGATACCGGCGATAGGGTAAACATGCTCATCAGGAGCAGTGATATATCAGGCCCTCCTAGTTTATTGGTGCTTAGTGAAATGTCATTGGATCCCAGCTTGGAAGATGGTCTGATTGACTTGATAACTTGATGGACACCGTTGTGCAAGATATCCACTCTGCTTAAAAGGTTTGTTACTGCATATTCTGTGCGCACAGACACATAAACCCGCTTCTTGATTCATGGTAGTGGCAAAAAGGTCACTGAATTTAAACTGGATCATGGAGTAAGTGGCCCTCACCGTCAACCATTTCAGTACTCAGATCTGAACAGTCACTGGTTCTACGATGCAGTATTTTGACAAGCTCCTTACATTTACAGATTGCTCGTGTCCTTCGTATTTTCGTTGTGATGTGTACATGTTTGACTCTGGTAAATTCGTGAATTTGTAAAATAAGTGAAAAGCAATCAGTCTTCCTGTGTCTTGCAGCTAATTTTTTGGTTTTCTGGCAGATAAAATGTTCGATGGCATCTTTGTAGACGTGAGTGAATACTTAATACTGAATACTGGTTCGAAGCAGCGAGTAGAGCTTTCTCTGTGTAGCTGCAGCATTCGTCGCTCTTTGACATTTACGCCTTATTTTTCCTTCCGCTCTCTATATTTTGCCTGTATAAAGTGTTTGTCTAGGAGCTTCTTAAATTCGGACACTGAAGTCGCCTCTACTACCTGCTGCGGCAGGTCATTCCAGATATTCACCACTCTGCGTTCGAAACAGATTTTGTGAGCGACCCGCTTCAACTTCGGTGCGATAAGTTTGTACCGGTGTCCTCGCGAGCAGCTTGGTGTGCGCAGATGAAGCAGTTGTCTCAACATGGGGTAATCACTCAGATGTACTATCCGGTGCGTCATGATGAGGTCAACCCTCAGCCGACGATATGCTAGGGTGTATAGCCCTAGTTTCTTACATCGGTCTTCATATGGCATACCTCGTAGGTTGGGAAACAGCCTGGTGGCTACATGCTGCACCCGCTCAAGCTTTTTTACCTCTCCCAGCGTGATGGGACCATACGCGGGAGAGCCGTATTCTAGCATTGGTCGTATTATCGACGCGAAAAGACGAGTAGCATTCCCTTCGGACCAGGTGCTGAAGCTGCACCTGAGCGTCCAAAGCATCCGAAGACTGTTTTGGTACAGCCTATTCGTGTTGTCAATGGACTTTAGGTCGCAGCCTGAGAGCACACCGAGGTCGCGCACGAAAGACGCGGGATGCAGCGGTTGACCAGCCATTGTGTACCTTCGGCTGTGCTCACACTTACCCAACCTCATAAATTGCGACTTAGCAGGGTTGATCGGAAGGTTAACCTCTGCAGATCATGTCGAGAGGCTGTCGAGATCCTGCTGAAGTAAATCACAATCATTGAGTGTGCGTATTACTCTCCACACCTTCAAGTCATCTGCGAACAACGCACAAGGTGATTGGAGTAGTTGAGGCACATCGTTCACATGGATCAGAAACAATATCGGCCCCAGTACAGTGTCTTGGGGCACGCCGGTGCTCGATGGATACCAGTCAATTAGATGGTTGTCCACCTGGACTCTCCACTTTCGATCAAGGAAATTTCTGATCCATTTGTGCAGCGAACCACCAACACCGCACATCCTCAGCCTGTCAAGGAGCACTGCATGGTTAACCTTGTCAAAAGCCTTACTGAAGTCAATGTAAGTGACATCGATCGAATGGTCTTGGTTCATCGCTTGTAACCATTCGTGCCTCGTCAACATTAGATTGGTGATGCACGAGCGACCTTTCATGAAACCATGCTGTGCGGAGGTCAACAGGTTTTTCGACTCGAAAAGCTGCAGAAGGTTCTTTTTCACGATCTTCTCGAGCGTCTTTGCCAAGACAGCAGTCAGGCAGATCGGCCGGTAGTTATCCACTTTACGTGGGTTACCACCTTTCGGTATGGGCTTTACGACTGTGCATTTCCAGTCGTCTGGTAACAGTCCAGTGGATAGTGACCTGTTAAACAGTTCAGTTACAGAAGGTGCGATGATGGCCGATAGGGACTTGAGGATCACTGGGTGTGTACCATCTGGCCCAGTAGGCTTCGTCCCGTCAAGATTTGCTAGAAGCTTGCGTACATCCTCAATATTGCAGTCCAGGCTGTTAAGTTCGGCTGGAGTGGTAGTCGTCGAACTCGTTACAGACACCTGGTCACTTGCAAATACAGAGGCGAAGTGCGCGGACGCACGAAGTGTGCGGACGCACGATCTGTACTCGAGGTTAGGGGTTGTCCATCGGAGCCTTCGAACACTGGGACATTGGCTACAGGCCTCAGGCGCCGCTTCACATATGCGAAGATCCTATTGGGAGCAGTTTTTGCGGCAGTTGCAAGCTCCTCTTTGAAGGTTCTGCGTTTTATTGTTTTCGCGTTGTTGCAGCGATTTCTGTGAACCTTGTACGCATTTTAGTCCTCATCAGAGCCAGATAACACGAATTTGTTCCATAGTCTGCGTCGTCGTCAGGCCATTTTGTTGTACTCTTTATCGAACCAATGTGGTTTTATTAGCCCAACTTTCCGAAATTTGAGGGGTACAATTTGGGCGCACAACGATTTCACTCCCTCTTTAATGATAGTC